TATCATAGATCTTAATTTAAATCCCATAAATTGTTAATTTTGCCTACAATTATATGTTAGAGTTTTCAAAAGTTGTAAACAAAATATCAATTCTAACCATATCCTATTGATTACTCAATAAAATAATTTTAATTGCTGTCTTTCCACTGTGCATATCTTGCAGAGAAAGGTAAATTAATTTATTGTTTTAGGACAGGAAGCAATAACTTGAAATTAGTGAAAGTGGTTTTTGCTGAAGTGGTTTTATGTTGCAGATAATTTTTTTAAACAAATACTCTAAATTTGTTTATGGAATTGTGTACCATAAATGTGTGAATATAACCACAGGCATGTCAGAACAAGGGTTTTAATTGTACAATTAAAATTCCTTGGTCGGCAAATTGGTTTAAACCAGTGTACAAGCCAACTGGAATATAACCGGTTTTATAAGCTGAGCATAATCTATTAAAATGCCAAATGGAATAGCAGATTAGCTCAGTTGGCTAATCTGGTGGTAGCCACTGTGTGTGCGCTGAACCGTGAAGATCTCTAGGTCCCCGGTTCAATTCCCATCGCTGCCTCTCCTTGTGTTTCAGCTAGAGGGCTGAAATACAAGTTACAATAGCGCACCGTCCTGTGGATGAGACGTTAAAGCCGTTGGTCCTGTGTGCATTTATGGCCCATGTGCACGTTAAAGAACGCAGTACACTCTTCAGAAAAGAGTAGGGGATTGTCTCCCGGTGTACTGCCCAATCACCACCAAAAGGACCCCACTGGAAATAAGTCTTCTTCTAGACTTTTGTGGGCTATCCTTGGTGTTTACACTGAATAAATCCAATCCAATCCAATCGATGGAGGCCTGTAAAATGTCAATAATTCCCCCTTAAAGTTAATAGTGAGGTCCTCTGAATTGGGGTACCCACATTAAAATTCACTTTTTCAAAGGGAATAATGTAAAAATAAGGGGTTCAACCATAAATAGAAGCTACACTTATAAGCCAGCTTCCTTAAGTAACCTTATAGCCTCCCTAAGTAGTGTGGCTTTCCTGAGGATCTTGTCAGTGAGAGTTAGGTGAAGTAGTAGTTTATATATTTTATTAAGTTATTTATTCTAACAATAATCTCCACTCCACGTACAGAAAGGTAAACATAATTAAACAACACTGGTGAGAAACAAAAAAAAATTAATCAAATCTGGTGGAAAGTGGACAAATTAGAATTTAGATTATCAATGTCAGAATGGGCATCAACATAAATATCATCAGATACACAATAATAAATCCATTTAACAAAATATTAACTCTACTAAAAGAAACATTGAAAATAGCATTGTCTGTAATCTACAAACAAGGACCAAAAATGCAAAAACTGCTGGGTTGTCATGGTGTAGCCCAGTAGAGAGGTTTATTGAAGCTTATACTAATCTAGGGCTAATGCACTACCTCAATCTGATAATCCAACAGCTATTCCATTGGATCAGTTGAGTATCTGCGACTATAAATGTTAGTGTGTATCAGTAATAATAATGTTTAAGTATTTATAGATAAACTTAAGTACAGGTGAAGGTACAGGGTGACTTCATTGAGCCTTAAATCAATATGATGATGGGGATTTAAGAAGTCCCTGCTGTATTCTTCAGTCATGTACGGTATTTATAAGCTTAAACAAAAGTAAATGTTTATAGGAATATGTTTCTATTGTCTCCATCTACTGTACAGCCAATTAATTTTTCAATTGTAGAATGAGATATTCGGGGTTTGTGATTGGAGGTGACCAATTGCTTTCCCACATCATCACGCACCTAAACGTGTCTTGTGAAGAATAGAGAAACTTGGGTTTAAAAATCATGGAATATTTTCTTAGGTCTGATATAAATGGATGTAAATTCTAAAAGCAGAAAGTGTTCCTTTTAGCTTTTTAGTACAGGTATATTACCGGTTGTGGCTTGGACTCCCAACCTCAAGGTCGGGGATTCGAAACTCTCGCTGTGCAAATCGTGTGTGTCCTTGGGCAAGGCAATTTATCTAGAGTTGCCTCTCTCGACCCAACCTGGTAGGTTCCAACACAACTGCGCTGATTACTAGCTGCAATATTATGGAATAATAATATAATTTATATTATTATTATTATTATTATTATTATTATTATTATTATTATTATTATTATTATCTATTGAATCATTCTTTATTAAAAGCAATGAAATGATTGTGACATAAAACCCAAAAAGCAGAAAGTGTCTGTTTTAGCTGTTTAGTATAGTCTTTCTAT